TGCAAATAAAAAACATATTCACAAATATATATTTATGTCACAACCACAACTTTGCCTGGCATTTATTTGTAAATCGTGTCCTGTGCATTTGTAGATTGCTGTGCGCATTTGTGGATCACTCACTGTGCATTTGTGGATCGCTGCGCCTATTTGTGGATTTTGAGACATTTCTAGCATCAAGACGCACACCAATCCACAAATGTATGGACTCCACCCACCGTCTACTCAAGCCAATCAGATAACAGCCACACTTCGCTGACCAATTGTAGCACGTTCTCGCTATAACCAATCACGTTTTGCTTCCACAAATGCACAGCGAGCGATCAACAAATGCGTGCAGCAATCTACAAATGTATAGGACGCGATTCACAAATGAATGGCAGGCAAAGTTGTGTTTGTGACATAAAAATGTATTTGTGAATATGTTTTTTATTTGCAAATTTCATTTTATTTATTTGTGAATTGAATTAAGTGAAACTCTGAGATTTATTTGTGGATCTCATTCTATTTATTTGTCAATATGTTTAATTTTTTTGTAAATCTCTTTACATTTATTTGTGGATCATAATCTATTTATTTGGAATAATGCAACAATTCTACCCCCATAATTCTGCCTTTGGTTCTCCAATGAGGAAAGAAAGGCATATAAGTTTGGAATGACATGTGATTGAATAAATAGTGACAGGATTTTCTTTTTGTGTGAACTAACCCTTTAAACAAGGCATTACACACACACACGCAGAAGCAAAATCCTGCATCTGCATCTGTCCCCACAGTTGCGTTGTGGTCGTGTTGCGGTTGAGTGACAGGGTCATGTTGGCACGTGTGTGCATGTCTGTGGGTCTCAGTGGTGTATGGTCACACTGACAGTGATGAATGAACTGTCGCACCGCTGCCCTTCTCATGCATTACACTCCTTTACCCTGGAGAGGCTTGTGTGTTTCTGCATGTGTTTTCACACTTCTAATACCACAAGAAATTGCTCTACCACATTAATTTACTATGAATGATGCAAATATCATGTTTGTGTGTATGCACACCATGTAGAAATGTATGGGTTGCTGGTATGGGTTGGTGTAGGTAGGTGTGTGCGTGTGTGTTGTGGTGTAATTGAAGTGCCGGAACGTTCAGGTTAAATGCTCTGAACTCTGTGCTATGGGGTCAGAACTGAATTAATGGAGAAAACCCATGGCCCGTGAACCTCCTCTAAACACACACAGCCTCATCTCAACATCTGTCCAACAGCTTGTCATCCATTCTGAATAGGATTCGGTGTTCTCACATTCATGGAAAACCCGGAAACGTTTACATTATGATTTCCAGGCCTAGAGAATTGATGGAAATTAATAAAAAAAATTTAAATGGAAAAGCAATGGATTTTATATAGATATATATTTATTGTTTTTTTTTGTTTTTTTATATACTTTTTAATATATATTTTGGCAGCCATTACGAAGAGCTCTGGCATTTCTGCTGCAACTCTCACGGTTCTACTTAGCATTCCGTTAGAGAGAGCGTGTATGTGTTGTGTGATTTGTGTGTATATACACACTCAGGCCTCTGAGTGTCCCTAGGCATGTGCGTTAAGTTCTCTCTCCGCTTCACTGCGTGTTGTGTTTCCCTCTTATTGACGCTCACCAGTCGAGTCCCACTGCACGCTGAGCATTCATTATTATGACTCTCTTCATTTATACTGCGTTAAACCTTCTGCCATTAGCAAACACTCCCTCCAGCAGCTCTGCTCATTTTAAATACCTCCGTACAAAGAAGCAGGACTGTAATCAAGTCTGGCGTGGATGGACGTACTCCAATAAGAATTCAACGGTGCGCTGTAGTGTGAGCGGAGTAAGAATGGGTCAGGAGACAGAAATTTTCGCCAACAGATCTTAAACCTCCCATGACACAGCGTGACATTTAAGTAGAAAGGAAGGATTTTGCTTGCGATGAGACAAGAGAACCTCTGCTGGTTTGATTTTTCTCTAAAGCTCTTGCCGTCTGTCTATCTGTTTCACTTGTGAGGATTCTATCCATCCTTCAACTCTGTTTTCCTCTCCTTCCCTCTTTTTCTATCTCTCTTTCTCTCTCTCTGGAGCTTGATTACTTTTTAATGATTTCTGGGGCTAAGACGAATGAGTGTGTTAAATGAAGAGAATTAGACATGTGCCGCAGAGCGCTGGGGCATTTGTTACTTGAATAATGGAGCTTAGAGACTTTGTTTACTGGGAAATATTGAGCTTCACAAATTAGATGGGGAGAGGGAGACCAAATATTGCAGCTTACAGTATGATATTTCTCTGGTCACTCTCTGTAGCTTTTATTAGGGCCGGACAGCATATCAGAAATGTATGATCTATTCAATATTATAGATCATGTTGCTAATATAAAATTAACCAACATCATAAACAATGACTATGATTTTAATCCACTTTTTCATTTGGCTATAGACTTTCCTAAAGTCCACAACAATGTCACGATCACTCCTTGTGTCATGACCGACTATGACTTGCGTGTATGAGAAGACGTATTTACTCATTCAAACCTCATTAACATGGCAGTAGTCTTGGGCTGTAGTCTATCTGTCTATCTGTAGTAGTTTTGATTCGTTTTCGCAAATAAGTTTTTTTGAACTGTCTGATTCACGAATCGTTTGGGTCATCATTACTCATAAGTCTCTGTGTTGCATTTTATGCATTGCAAATGATTTAAGTAAAAAAATATATATAGGTAAAATTGTGTATGTATTGTTATATTGGTGAATATAAATAAAATTATTAAATATAATTCTTCCTACTATACATTTCAAAGGTGTACTTTACATGTATATTTTATCTATATGTCTGTCTGTCCGTCCGTCCATCCATTCATCCAAAATATTTATATCAAATACCATTAAATTATTAAAACTTTGGAAATATACTATATAAAATATAAAAAATATAATGTTATACACACACACACACTGTATATATAAAATGGCATTAAAACAGGGATCTATCAAAGTTTGGTCATGTTTGTGGAAGTGTATCATGGCATGAACAAATGAGATATCTGAGGACCTCAGAAAAAGAGTTGGTGTTGCTCATCAGGCTAGAAAAGTTTTCAAAGCCATCAAAACATATGGTCACATTTCACCACATTATATATATATATATATATATATATATATATATATATATAATCGATTACCATCAAAATGCTGAAAAATTCTGATATGTATGTTCTATGCTCATTTCCCAGTAACCATGCCAATTTTTTCCAGACACTCATTCACACACACATAATCAGACACCCTATGGCATTGATGGACTTGTTCCAGTGTGACCAGGGGCACAGCTTTGAAGGCTAGCATTCCCCTGCTGAGTCGTTTCTCCCCCACCCCCCTCAGTTCCTGGTGCAGTTGACTGCTAGAGAGCTCAAGGGGCCAGGGCAGTGCCACAGATCATTACCTCGCTCTCCACCCCCGGGGCTCAGGCAGGGGGCACAAACAGCAGGCATTGATATGTGTATTAGCAGATTGTACGTCAAATGTGCAGCAATGCGCTAATAAGAACAAAATACTCGGGGCACTCGCCGCTGCCCCCTGCTGGGCAGGATGGGTCACAATGTGGTTGGATTGAGTTAGTGCTGAGTCCAATTAAACAGAACGTTTGTGCCAATGCCACAAGGAAGTTATGATTCGGTGCACTAGGCAGCACCGTTGCCAATGCGGTGCTAACGTTCGCTGTCACTTTCAGTCAGTCACTGCTGGCCTTAGAAACACAGCCAAATGTTGGTAGCTATGCTAACACTCATGGCTCTTTTGTTTTGGCCCTTCACAGTGTTTAAAACGTGGCCCTTTTTTGTGCCCGGGCTCCTTTTCTGTTCAAGGGGAAACTTATTCTGCTATTTTCGTCATTAGCTTTGATGGCAAAGCGAAACTGTTAAATGGTAGGAAGGTGTAGCGAATCAGCTCATAAGGGAAATATGAATAATTAATCATAACTAGTTATAATTAATTATAAATATTTAGATCCGCTGTAGATATTTACTTGACCTCTCAGGGTCAACAGGAAGAGGAAGTGCTTGAAGGATGTGGATGAGTGTAGGTATGTCATTGACACATATTTAAATAATATCCATGGTCATATGTTTCTGTATCATCGCGCTTCATCTACGGCAAAAGGGTTGTCTGGCTCTGACAGGTGAATGGAGGGTTTTGATTGTGTTTGTTTTTCGGGCTATTTGACATATTTGCTCAAAATCGAGCAATTGAGCAGATAGACTGCAGCATTTTGTAGTCTATCACGGTCTTTTATAGAGGACGTCTGGACTGGTCATCCTTAAACTCAACCCTGACCTCAGACCAGAACCTCCCCCGCACCTTAACAACAGCGACATTTACAGTCTCTAAAGCAATCATCTGATTCATAGAAACGAATAGAGGTGATGCCCTGACTTCAGAGTGTATCATATTGAATGTGTGTTTGTTTGTGTTTTCAGAGCACTGTGGTTGTGGAGAAGTCCATTCAGGATTTAATGAGTCTGATGCAGGACCTCAGTGCGTACTCCAACCAGTTCCTGGAGATGGTTTGTGACAAGCTCAAAGAGTACAAAGAGATCTGCAATGCTGCATACAGGTAATAATACTGTGACACACTAAATTATTTTTTTAACTGTGTGAATGTGAGTGTGTTGTCTGTATTTAATGTGATTCAATAAAAAGTACATGTACTGCAGTATAATAGCAATAAATGTCTTATTGTCAAATTGTCCAGGTGGGCTGCATGCAAAAAAGAACATATATCGTGACCAGTGTAGTCCGATGTGTGACCAAATGACTCTTATGAAGTGAATCAAAAACATACAGCATGACCAGTGTAGTCTCATTCTTGAACGAATGGCTCTTATGAAGTGGTTCTTGATGAATCAAAAACATATAGCTCGACCAGTGTTGTCTGGTTCCTGAACGAATGACTCTTATGAGGCATTTCTGATTAGTGAATCAAAAACACACAGCATGGGCAGTGTAGACAGATTCATGAATGAATGACTCTTATTAGCCGGTTCTTTTAATGAATAGTGCAAAAAGATTAGTTTGAATTAGTCTGACAGATGGAGCATTTCTCTCTAATGCTAATTAATTTTATTAAGAACATTAACTAACATTTATAAATTACATAATGCCTCAAATCATTAATTAATGTTCATTAAAATAGTTAGAAATGTCTTTAAAATGAAGAAAATTCTGTCTACTCCCTGCAGTACCTTCACAGATCCCCTGGGAGTCCATGGATTTTCGAAAACCTTGGTATTAGAAACATTGGATGATTGGTCGGCTCATGTGTTTAAGTGAAGTGTGTGTGTGCGTGTGTCTGTCTGTGTCCGCTCACATATGTGTAAGTCAGCAGGGGTCTGAAGTGAGCTCAATCATGGGTAGAAAGTGCAGAGGCAGCCGTTTCCTTGCACAATAATCACATGCTACCAATCTGTCTCTCTCTTTGTCTCCTTCTGTCTTTTTTTTTTGTTCTCTCCCTCTTTCTCATCCATAAGATGAGTGAAATGCTCTGCATTACGTTCTACATGATCTGTTCAATCAATCTACACATCGCAGACAATAACAGTTAATTCATCTGTGCTCTCGTCTGCCTCTCTGTATCATCCAAACTCTTCTGTGGAACCTTGTTCAACTGTCATCCAGTGCACATCCGCTTATGCAATACTGAAGACATTTATCTGAACTTACGGTTCATTTTCATATTTTGGCACTTTTTGAGACGTGAAGTGAAATGGAGCTTGTCCAATCCCTGAGCCAATCATAGACTTTGTTCTTATTTTAGCTTTTTACACAGTGTTTCATCACACTTTATGATAACTTCCATTTACAAGTCATTAACAACATCATTATATAGTACTTAGTGAATCATTAGATAATGAACATTTAAATGTGTGAAAATATGTTTAATAGTATTTTTAGTTATTGCAGTGTACATTAACTTATGATCTGAGAAAGATGATTTAACATGTCAGGGCAGTGTTTAGCACATGTTTTCGGGTCACATTAATCTGTGGAGCTGAGCTAATATATTATATTATATTTTCATGTTAGATATGCATTTATTTATTTTTTATTTTTTATAATTTTTTTAATAAAAATATGTTGCTCACGGTTTTATATCTTCTCAGTATGTAATCAGTTTCTTTTAATCCTGAAGTGGTTTTGAGACTATTGTACGGTGTGTGTGTGTATTGTAGGGGTATTGTACAGTGCGAGGAGAAGCTGACCATCAGTGCGTCCTGGGCTAAAGATGAAGACATCAGCCGCCTGCTGCAGTCTCTGCCCAACTGGGCCAGCATGACCCAACCCAGACAGCTCCGACAGAAGAGGGAAGAAGAAGAGGATTTCACACGGTGAGAGCACACGCTAATATACACATACATACTGCAAATACACACTGTCCCCAATGTGAGATCACCACACAGATTCATCACAGAGCACACAATATATACAAACACACTCGCACAACTTCTATCAGGTCAAGGTCATCTTTATTTATATAGCACCTTTAAACAACATTAATGCTGACCAAGGTGCGTCACAGTAACACAATACAATGAGTTTAAAATTGAAATCTTAACCCATAAAACCAAATAAAAATCAGGAATAAGAATTTAACTCACTAAGACCAACATATCCAACAATTATAAATAGGCCTGCGAACATAGATAAGTTTTTAATGATGATTTAAATGCAGATAAAGAAGATGATAACCTAACAGATTGAGGTAACGAATTCCACAGCTTAGGGGCTAATACAGAAAAGGCTCTGTCAACTTTAGATTTCAAACGAGACAATGGGACGGTTAATAGATTATCAGAGGATGATCTAAGAGATCTCCGGGGTGAGTATGGATGGAAAAAAACTAGCTCTAACAACATTTTTATTTGCTTGTTGAATTTTAACTCTGAATCAAAAACAACACCCAGATTATTTACATGAGTACGGATTTTTGCTTGCAAGGGTCCTAAACTAGAGGACATGCCGTTAACCAAATGGGGGGAGCCAAATAGAATGACTTCAGTCTTGTTTTCATTTAACTGAAGAAAATTATCTCCCAACCAGCTTTTGATGTCGTTTACACAAGCAAGCAAGTCGGACAAGGACTTTTTTTTTACCCAGGTTTAATTGACATATACAACTGGGTATCATCCGCATAAATATGATATGGGACCTTGTGAGACTCAAAAATGTAAAGAAGAGGAAGCATATATAAAGCAAACAAAATCGGGCCCAAGATGGAGCCCTGCGGCACCCCACCAGTAACAGAGGCAGGTGATGAATGAAACTGACCTATCTCCACAGAGAAACTCCTCGCAGTAAAATATGATTCAAACCAATCTAAGGCCGAATCACAAATACCAACCTCAGTTTTTAACCTGTTTAAAAGTTCTACTGTATCGAACGCCGCACTTAAATCCAACAGTACCAAAACTGCACAATTTCCAGAATCCACAAATAATAACAAGTCGTTTACCACTCTTAACAAGGCCGATTCAGTGCTATGCTTGGATCTAAAACCAGACTGAAAAGGATCCAATATATCATTTTCAATTAAGTAAGGTGATAACTGATTTAAAACAGCTTTCTCCAATACTTTTGATAAGAATGGCAATTTCGAAATAGGTCTATAGTTGTTAAAATCAGCAGGATCCAGATTTGGTTTCTTTAGCAGCGGATGAACCACTGCATGTTTAAAACAGGATGGAACTGAACTTGTCTGTAAGGAATTGTTGATAACGGAAATAATATTTGGTGCAACTACGTCCAACACTTACTTTAGTAGCGTAGTTGGTAAAACGTCAAGAGAGCAAGTGGTCGATCTTAAACTGGACACTATGTTCAACAACTCAGATTGCGAGATAGGATGGAAATGTGAAAATTTAGCAGGACTCGAAGGTAAATACCAGACCTTCTGAGATGGGTTCACGACAATCTGAGATTTAATGCAATCAATTTTGTTTATGAAGAAGCTGCAAAACTTCTCACACAACTCTGGGCTATGACCAACACCAATCCCAGAAGCAGGATTTAATACAGAATTAATGGTAGAAAACAAAAACTTTGGACAATGTGAATTTTGAGAAATCAGATTAGAAAAATATTTAGACCTCTGCAAGGCAACTGCCTCTTGAAATTTGACCAAAAAATTATAACGATGTAACAATGATTGTGTCATAGAATAGTTTAATGGTGTTTTTTTCACTAACTTTCACGTAAAGTTTTTGACAGTCTTTACACCATTCACCTGCTTGTAGGATGCAAAGAACATCGGCCACTTCCTCCAGGTACACGGGGCTCTCAAACAACTCGGAGGACTTGAGGAAAAACTCTCCATTAGAGTCAGCCAGCTGTTGAACACAGGAAAATATTTTAACACTATGTGTGATAGAATAAATTAAAGATAACAAACATCTTCTTCAAACATCTTTATGAAATATTGAGGAAAGCATGCATGTAGCCTTTTAATTTAGTTCTTTCTGTCTTTCAGTTTGCTAAAAGGATCATAATACCTATATTATTTGGGGTTGGTATTTTTAATGTTTTGAGAATAGGTCTCTTATGTCCACCAAGGCTACATTTATTTGAACAAAAACACACTAATATTGTTAAATATCATTTAGGTTTAAACTAACAATATTCCATTTGAATATATTTTAAATTATATTAATTATATATATATATATATTATTCCAGTTTTCAGTGTCAATTGATTCATCAAAAATGCTGATTTTCTGTTCAAGAAAAGCATATTAATATATTAATATAATAATATATTAAAATATATGTATATACATTATTTATATAT